ATGATGATGATGATGATGATGATGATGATGACGATGATGATGACGATGACGACGATGATGACGATGATGACGATGATGGCAGATTACGTCATTCCTTAAAACATGAAAGCAACAATAAAAAACAAAGTAATAAAACCACTAGCGTGCATTAATAAGTAGCACAGCAGGATAGACTTGACTGGTGTCTCATCTTCAGATGTTCCTGAGGCAGTCAATGCCAGTCAACCCTTTTCTCTTCATTTTCCAGAAACCCAGGATCTTGCTTGTCCATATGATTCTATCACATTGCTTAAATATTAAATATTCTGAACAGTGTATTAGGTAGTGGGGAGAGAGTGCCCCCCTTCACTAATAAGGGTTGCTAGCCAATATGGATTGTTTCTATTTCAAGAGCACTGCCAACGCTTGCCTGCCCCTCATGCTATCCCATGCAGGGTCAGAGGATGTTTATTTCCTGTCTAAGGATCTATCCTTCAAGGCACCACCACAAGGGCAGGACATTCACCCTATCTGATAGCAACAGCCTCTAGGCAGGGCTTCCCCTCTTGCAGACCATAGCATGGTGGTTTGGGGCTGGGGAAGTGGCAGAGGACTGGAACTGGAGAAGGCTTTTACCAAAGTTTCCTCTAAGCAGCTGGGCTGACACTCTGCAGATAAATTTCCACTACAGAGGTCCAACAGCAGAGACTCAGAGTTTTGGAGCTCAGCCTTCTTAACCAGAACATCAAATTGAGCAGTTACTGCTCCCACCATGCTCAGCAAGTCTCCAGGCCTCCTAGGCATTCAGATGTCCATAACCTATAATCAGGTTATGTGATCATACTCAGCAGCAGCAGTTTAGATGCCTAAAACGGTGACGGTTGCATCATCTGTTAGAATGGCAGTCCATTTGTGCTCAATGACACCACTACCTTTCCTTGCAATGCTCCTGCTCACCATTTTACGTACGCTCCACTTTGCCCTTGTCACAGATGAAGGTAAGAGTAAACATTGTTACACTTTCCTTTGTTTGGGAGGAGCGCATGATTTTTGCTGCTTTTTCTGGGGTTCTGCAAATCTAAATACGAATATAGTATAGCCAGGTGGGTGAATAACCATTGGGCTGCAGTATCTGGGAAGGGGGGAACTGGATGAAGTAAAGATGTCCAGAAGCATCTTAGTCGGTTTATTTGACATTGCTAATTCCTGGACATAATTCTGGTGGGGCACACAAATGTCTAGTAATATGACTTCTCATGCTTGCTGAACATGTCATACATGATGAAAGAAGCTACTTTTCATGTATTTCTCCTTGCTATGCCATTATTAGAAATTCCTCAGGACACCTGATATTAGTAAATGTGCTACTGATAGTAATGGTTATGATCAAGAACTCCATGATGAAACAAAGTAATTTTAGACTGAGAAAGCAAGTTTTCTAACTCTCCAGAATTCTTTATTAAGCTGGTTGATGACTGTCTTAAGTTCTCTCTCATTTTTCCCACTCATCAAGGAACCTCTACCTTTCACTAAGTCTGGAAACAGATCTAAGTAACATTTTCAGAAACATTGTTTCGTCATCCCAACTCCTTTGTGGACAGTTCTAAGTTCAACAAGATACCGTCACAAAACTCAGTACCACCTGATTTGCCTATACTAATTTATCTGAAGAATAATTCTGGAATATTTGAAAACCTGCATAATATTTTAAGAAAGGATTACTGCCCCTTCATGTTCCCCTCATTCAAAGTCTTTTCCCTAGCTGCCTTTTCTTCAGTTAAGCCCAAGGAATAGTTCAGGATAGATCTAAATTTCAAGGTAAGCAATCCATTACTGCAGCCCAAGAAGGAAGTTTTCAATGTTCCCAGAAAAATAGCAAAAAAATATAGGGTTTTTTAAAGAAAATGTTCTGGATTGCAAACTTAAAAATAATTAGATGATTATGATTGAGAATATTGTCCATCTTAAACAAACAAAGCGTACAATTTAAATAGGTATGGTAGTAGTATCTTTAGTATGGTCCAAGACTAGTAAGACATAAATTTTAAAAACTCAAGTACAATCCAGAAATATAACATTATAGTTTACCAACTGAGAGGTGAACTCTTCCATTTTTCCTAACTTTATAAAATCAGCTGAAATGGTTTTTCCTCAACCTTGCATTCTGAGGGTATATGTCCTAATTGTTTTCATGTCCTTTATCAAATGGGTAATTCCATTTGCACTCTATAACATTAAGCACTTGCATAGTGAGATGTTCTTTCTGCATAAAGAAGAACTTACCAGTAGAAAGAGACTCCCTAGAGAAATGGGTGTTACAAACAAAACTAGGGAATCTATTTGGGAGGATCTTTCTGGAAAGCCAGTCTGTCAGTTGTAAACAGAACTTAGGCACACTCTGACTTTTCACAATTTTATGACCTCATCAACATGTCCTCCTTCCATTCTGAGTGATAGTGATGCAACACAGGAAGCACTGGCTATCTCCCTGAATTTGCTGCTTTCATTGGTAGACAAATCTAATGGCCCATTTATCACTGTGATGCCATTATATTAATAACATAGTTTTTGAATGACTACAATAACATGCAAAAGAGGTGATGCTGGAAGGAAAAGGGCCCAAAGCAGGTGCCCAGAAAGGAAACAAAATCCCAGTGAATACTGTAAGCATGAAAAGGTTATGTCTTGATGTCTACTGAGGCAGCAGTTCAGGCTCTTGAATTGTTCCCTTCTGCATTTAAGTGAACTGACACATTTGTCTAGTTGTGGCCCAAGTTTAGGGAAAGTGCTTCATAGGAGTTGGACACTGAGCAAGAGAAATCAACTTCAGGAGCCCCTCCTTACTAACACCACAAGGCTCTCTTTCTTTAGTCCAGAGGAAAATCTGAGTGTTTGTTAGGATAAAGATATGGGACAGGACAATACAACTTGGAACTAATGGCTGATATTTCTATTAAAGCCCATTAAGTGTTTTTAGAGTGCCTGGAATATGAAACATGATGCATTAGTGGACATGTAAACACATGTGTCTACCATCATAATCTTGATTATTTGATATTAGAATCAAATGCGGATACTCTTTGGAATATAGCACTGCCATATCACATGTCTACTCTGAAACAATTAACTAAAGATGTTTCTTTCATGTCCCATCTTTATCTTTAAATCCAGTTCCTTATTTTAAAAAATTGCAAGTTGCTCCTATAAAAAATGCTAACAAAAGAAAGATTTTCACATCTATTGTTGTGTCCGCAAACTAGATATAGATTTTGTAAAAGAGTCTGAGTACAGCTTAGTATGTGTGACTTGTGGTTATAGGTAATGAAATATATTAATCAAAGCTTAGAGTGGGAACAAGCCCTGCTGTTAAAATGCCATGATGATCCCTTATTTTTCTGCAGAAGTCCAGAAGTTGCAAACTTGTCAGAAATGGGCACCCTTATGCTAGAATGCTCTAAATGTTGTGGTTTCTCAAGTAAGGGCTTTAAAAATAGATATTATATCTTTAATCCTACATTAAAATGCTATATTTTCCATTAAATGTTCCTATTTATTATTGTTTATGTAGTCCCATCAATGTATGAAGTACTTTCTTCTGGCAAAAGATGTGGGGGGGGGGGGGTGTGCCCGGTTCCTAGCTCCCCCCCCCCCCCCCCCCCCCCGCTTTCTCTCCCTGCCATCATCTTCCTAAATTAGTCACCTGTCCTCAGATATAAAAGAGACTAGGAGAATAGAATGCTGACTTATCATCAACGTCAACATAAGATCACACTCCCAATCTGTAGCTGAAATTGGGGAGGGGGGTTGGAGGAGAGAGATCATCTTGTCTTTCAGCTCAGGTAGCAAAATGTCTTCAGGCAGCCTTGCTAGTGAGAAAGGAGTCATACAACTCTCTTCTCTGCTTTCTAAGACTGCTTTTCCATTTTCAAAATAGTATGGTTTTGTTATGGACATTTGCATGCAATATATAGTTGATCCTCTTGTTTCCTTCCCCCTTACTTGAGAGTTCTATCTCCCTAAAGCAGGAAGCTTTTGTCCCCAAGCCCTCAGCAAATGCTTATCACAAAACCACATGGTTATTTTAGAATGTTTTGTTTGTGAAAAAGGGTTCTCCCATGCCCCTGCCACAAAGGCCATGAGGGATAACCTAATAAACAGCTCCTTTATCTCACGTTCTCTCAGATCATCATCATAATTGTTTATCCAGTATGGATTTCTACCTGAAAAAGAGAGCAAGAATACCTTAAGACCAATGACACTTAGGTTTATTGGCATTAATAAACAAAACTGGGCAAGTGGTCAGTAGAAATTAAAATAATACAAAGCACAGATGTATAACCACAAAAAGAAAGTGATGCTAAGTACATGCCATTTCACTGCCATCGCCAGAAAGTGCAGATGATGATGATGATGATGTATTTTCCTGATGCTGCCACCTGCTCTGAACTTTTTCAACATTATTGAATGCCACCTTGATATTCTTTCCTTTTAAAAGAATATAACCAAACTCTAAGATGAGTAAAACAGTTATCAATCCTGTCTAAGCTTAGTTCCAGTATTACGATGTTCATTTTCTGGGCACTTAATATGAAAGCAGGGAAAGGTAGCTGAAAGTAGAAAGCACAACAGCATAATGGTAAGATGCTGCGCTTGACACCAGGTTGTTTGTGTGTGATTATGATGCTGATTACATGCCATCAAGTCATTGTTGACTCTTAGCGACCACATAGATAGATTTTCTCCATGATGATCTGTCCCTAACCTGGTCCGTCTGCTCTTCCAACTCTGCATTTATCGCTACTGTAACTGAGTCTGTCCAAAACCTCATCCTTTTTACATGAGTTGTGACACATGTCAAAAAGGGGTGGGGCTTTGATCACATGGCCATGGCTTCCACGTTGGCTTTTTTAAACCTTTGCAAGTACCCTGGCATTCATTAACAGGGAAAAATGCTTGAAGCTTTCAGTTACATTAATCAGAGTTTCATCTGACTAACCTGATGTAACAAAGGTTGCATCATTTGATTTCAACCGTTTCTTTTCCATTTCCCTACAAACATACATGAAACTATTCTCGTGAGAAGTGATCAGCATTACTTTCTTTATCAGATTAGAATGTTTCTATACAATTTACTATTTTTTTCATTCCCTTTATGAACAAACCAGAATGACTGAGTTCAAATCAGCTTGTAAGGAAAATGGGACACTGAAAAAACAGTGATTTTCAGATACCACAGGACATTTTAAGTACATAATTGTATGTGAGATTGTAAATTAAGCAAAAAGTAATTGCTTTGAAAAATCCAAAAAGGTCGGACTTCCTCAGGAACGTGGCAGATCAAAGTTCACAGAGCTGACGACTGCAGCTAAGAACAAGGAGCTGACAAGTAGATCGGCCCCTTTGACCTCTCTGGAGAAAACTGTTGTAAGAAACAGGAAGAGAATGTTCAAGTAAGAATCTTGGAGGAGATAGAAAGTGCTCTGAACCTCTATACTCTCTTATAATCTATTAATCTATTTGGCCCATTATACCTAATGTTGCGTGTCTTACTGATTGCAGCCCTTTGGAAAAGGATTTTCACGTCTCTTCACACAAATACAGAAGGCCTCAGAGGAATGGCAAAGAGAAAGAGTAATGTTTCCCTTCCTGAAACTCATTCCCTTCCCCTGTGCAAATAGGCCTGAACTAATATTGTGTTCACAAATCCTGCTAAATCATAATTTGGTTTGCTTGCACAGGTTTAATTGGATGTGTGAATCCCTCTTAGTGTTTATCTGTGATCCAGATCTTATGGCTTTAAAAGATTGGCTTAGCATTATGCACAGACACAGTTCACAACTTCTATTTTAAGCTATTTGATCTCTTTAAAAATAGCAGCATGCTTCCAATAGAATATTTTGTCAAGGATGTTGTAATCTTGACTACTACAATCCCGTTTGCCAGTCCTTATTCTCTGCATCTCATAGTCCAGAATAGCCTGGATATATTTGGGGGTTATAGCTGTTGTTCTTTTCAACTAAAAAACTATTGAGAACTCAATCCATTTTTCGTTTCTCCACCCTCCCCTTTTTAAAAAAAACCTCTCTCTCTATAGAAGCTATTCTACTGGCCAAAACAGCTCAAGATGTCTTCTGCTTTTCCCGAACCTTTGAGGATCTCACCTGTTTCTGGGATGAGCCAACACATGTGAAAGGAGCATATCGATTCTTCTATACATATGAAGGGTAGGAGGCTATTCTCCACATAGACTGGCCAAATGGTCTGACGTGGAGGGTTTAGCCAAATAGCTATAAACCTAGATGCAGATTCTGAGCAAATTACTTTGGAGTCTGTAGAGGGAAAGGGATGGTTGAAACTCATTTTTGCCACTTCAGAGGAGGATTAGATTAAATCGCTGTGGAGAAGTATCACAATCCTAATTACTCTATTTCACTCCTACAGAGACAAAAGCCGAGAATGTGCTTTAATCTCCATGAAAAATACAGGTGGAGGTTGGCGCCACACCTGCCTCTTTCCTGAAGACTATTATGGCATTCAGCTCTTTCTTGAACTCAGTGTTGAGGTGTTGGATATCGTTAGTAATCACACCGTATTCTCACAGTATCTCAGAGTGAACACTGTTGGTAAGTTTCTTCCATATACAGTATGTGAAGCAGGGAAAGAGATGAGGATTGGGTAAAGCCCATCTTGGTCGCTCTAGGGTTGTCCAGCATCCTAAAACACATTGATACTATGGCCTGTATTTGACACAACAATTTTAGCCAAGTCATGTTCAAAAATGATTTCTATGTTATAATTCGATGATTGCTGGAATTAGTCTGTGAATCACACAGACCCTTGTCTGATGAATTTAGCTGAATTTTATTAATTCTGTGACTTATTTGGCAGTGACAGGTAAATTCTTGTTCAAAGGTAATAAAAGACAGTTGTGGACTTTTTATTTATTTATGTATTCATAACATTTCATGGTAAAAGCAATATGCAGGTATTTATTTCAAGCCATCTTTCAGGTGTACAGTTGTTAGTTTCCACGGGCTGTGCCTGATGCTACTGATGTCCCCAGAAGAGAGGGTAAAATTTTTCACCCAGGTATTTTGCTTTTTGCAAGGGACCCGAGAAAGAGGTTAAGTTCAAAATAGGCACATTGAGTTTTCAAAGGTTTAACACATCTATTTTGCATCTTATATAGCACGGAGAGGTAGAAAACAATACTAACAAAAATAGGTGGTTTGTCCACAGACGTTTGCAGTACAATCTGATGGGTTTTCTGGAAAATGCAAAACAGGAATTGGAGGACAGCATGTGGCTAAAACAGTGCATTTATCCAATTTTAATCTTAAGTAATTTATCTAATTACTTAAACAAAAAATTAAACAACCCTTCCTATCACTGAAAATAGTTCAGATATAGTACAATACAAATGACTTCACTTTGTTTTTCTTTAAAAAAAAAAAGTAACAAGGCTTCATTTTTCTCCCTGGGAAAAGGAGTTCCAAAAACAAGAAGCCACCACCAAGAAAGCCCTGTCCCTGATATTCCCAACAGCCTAATAACTCTTGCTGGTGAAATACAGAAAAGAGGTTGCCATTTACCCTAAAATATAACTGTAGGGAAAAGGCAGAGACAAAGAGGAAGGTAATAAAATGTGAGCAAATGCAGTTATACTCATAGGCTTCATGCCTGAACTCAGTACAATACCAGCAGTTCTGAGAATTTTCATTTCAAGTCTGTCTCTGCTCGCACGGCAGTCCTTTCCCTTCCATCCAGGAATCAAGAGCGTCCCAACCCAGAAGGTTAGCTCCTATCTGACATTTTAGAAGACGCTCCTGCACTGATACCCATCATGTAGCACAGAGTTTTTCTACAGACCGATTAGAAAATGGTTTTCCTGCCTTTCAGCTTGTCCATGTAGCAGGGATCTGAGAGTCCCATCAAGCAGCTTTGCCATTGATACAATCACGTTCTCACATTCCTGTTGCCTCTGCAGTTTCCTGTTCTCCCAATTGCTTCTACCACGCGAGGAAGCCTTCCGACATGAGTGGACAGATAGATAGAAGACATGTTACAAGTGCACTGTGATGTGTTTATTAGCCTCTGTGTGGATTTCCTATTGTTCAGCTTTTAGAACAATACTTGCTGCAACTTTAAAATTATGATACTATATCATTCCATTTAGAACACCAACAATTTTATTTCTGTTTTGTACTTACGTTAAGGAAATGCAGAACCAAAAAACATTTTCATGGTTTGTTTAGGATGTACATACAAAACATATCTGAGTCTAAAATGGCCTACATTGTTTTTCAAAGAATCGTGCATTTAGGTACACATTTATATATATACCCAAGTGTCCTATCCATTACAATGGTGCAAAGCAGATAGACTGCATGCATTCTGGTGTACATGCTTAAGTACTTCTTACTGCGAATGCTATAGCTATACTGCAAGGCACATACGGGTGACAGGCTGAATGTCCATTCTCCTGAAAGCTGCTGTTCCACTGAAAGCTAAATTGGCCATTCACATTGTTAAATAATTTAATATGAATGCCTTTTCTGGAAGAGAGGGTTTGAATCAGAGTATGTGTGTGTGACGGATACAAGAATTGCACTTGGAGAAGGTATGCCTGTTGGGGATTAAATAAATTAAACATAAATTGAATCTTGTGATTTGCAGATAGGGCAATTATAGGGCAAAAAGAGGTAATTTTATTGTGAGCAATTGATTTCAAATGTTCTTTCTTTTCCTCTGACACCACTATATACTTACTTCTATTTAAGTAAGTGCTTTCATTAAAATTTCATATGTTCATAAGAAAGAAAAAAGGCCTTCATCTTTAAAATGTGATTGCACAGTTCAAGGGCCTTAGTCTAGAAGATAGACTTGTCTAAGAAAAAAAAATGTGTAGATAAGCAAGTACAAATATCACATTACTGCACTGCTGGATTTAATGGGAGCTTTAAAAGTGTGAAGTGCAGGAGAGGGCCAGAAATAAAGCAGAAATTGGGGGTGGTTAGGAAAGGATTAAACCTTTTTCTATTGTTGCAACCTGAGACCCTGAACCTGCTCATATTTGTAGGAGACAAAGCTCCCAGTTGTTGCTCATAATCTTTGAAAAGCCCTCTCTCCCAGAGCTACAGAATCTCTTAGCTATAGCAGAAATGCATTCATGGTGATAGTGTAACTCCGAAACTATCCTTGGTTTGGCAGCCTCTGCTGGTTTGAACTGTGTATAATTTGCAAATGCTTCCAAGACTAGAATAATGGCAGATGAACTATTATTTTATGGACTGGCTTCAATATCCTTAGTTTTGTTGTTGTTGTTTAGTCGTTAAGTCGTGTCCGACTCTTCGTGACCCCATGAACC